GTTGATTATGCATCTGACTCTTGGTTTCGGCTCAGGCTGTGGGATTGAGCCCATTGTTGGGCTCTGTGCTCAGCGGGGAGTCTGCTTGAGATTCTCTCTCTGTCTTCCTCTCCCACTCATGTGCTCTCTCTCAAATAAATAAATAAACCTTAAAAAAAAAAACTTAACTACAATTGTGGGATAATTTTATTTCTTCCTCTAATTCTGTCAGTTTTTGCTTCATGAATCTGCTACCTTTTTTTTTTTTTAAGATTTATTTATTTATTAGAGAGAGCAGGGGCCGTTTTTTTTAGAGGGACAGAATCGTTAAGCACTCTCCACCGAGCACAGAGCCCAACGCAGGGCTCAGTCCCAGGACTCTGAGATCATGACTGAGCCAAAATCAAGAGTTAGCCACTCAACTGACTCAGCCACCCAGGCACCCCACTTTTTTTTAAAAAAAGATTTATTTATCTTAGAGCATGAGTGGCGCTGGGGGAAGGGGTGAGGGAGAAAAAGAATCTCAGACTCCCCAATGAGTGTGGAGCCTCACAAGACAACACAGGGCTCAGTCTCACAACCCATGAGATCACGACCTGAGCCAAAATCGAGAGTCGGTCGCTCAACTGACTGAGCCACCCAGGCACTCCTCTTTTACTACAAAACAGCTTTATTGATTTATAGCTTATATGCCATAAAGTTCATCCTTTCAGTAATTTTCAAAGCAATTTGGTGAGTTGTGCAGCTATTATCATAATCCAGTTTTTTTTTCTAATTTTTATTGGAATCCATAATCCAGTTTTAAAACATTTCTGTTACACCAGTAAGATCCCTTGTACCCAGAAATTAATCTCTGTTGCAAGCCTCAGGCCACCACTAATGTTTAGTCCATTAATGTTTAATGTAATTACTGGTATGGGGGGTTGGGGGCTCCCACTTTATTATTTGTTTTCTATTTATTTCCCCTCCGTTTTTTGTTGTTATGTTCCTCCTCCTCTGCTTTTTTTGGAAAAAAAAATAATTTTAACATATGTATATATTGATATATTTTTTTTCAAAAAAAAAAAAACAGTTCCATTTTAATCTTCCTCTTAGTATGTATTTGTGTGTGTGTTGTTGTTTGGGTGTTTCTCTAGAGATCATAATATATATCCTTTACTGTTCACAGTCCATGTATAGTTAATAATGTCACTGTTTCACATAAAACAGAAAGCGTATAACTGTACAGGTGCATATTCCTTCTGCCTGCCCCTACCTTACCTTGTCCTTCTGCTGTAGCTATTCTATGTATTACATTTATGTATACTATAACCCCCACAGGGCAGTGTCAAAATTACTATTCTTGATGCTCTTCATTCTTTCTTGAGGATCTGGATTTCCATCTGGTATCATTTCCCTTTGGCTTGAAGAACTTCCTTTAACCCCCTTTTTTTTTTGTAGTGCAGGTCTTTTAATAATGAATTCTCTTTATTTTTCCTTCATATTGAAGGATCTATTTATGGGCTATTGACAGTTTTTTCTTTTAGCACATTAAGGATGTTCTACTGTCTCTGCCCTCCATAATTTCTGATGAGAAATCAGCTTCCAATTGAACCATTCTTTTGTAGTATGTCATTTTTCTCTCCATGTTTTTGAGATTTGCTTTTTACCTTTGACTTGTTACAGTTTGATTATGATGTGCCTTGGCTAACCTTTTTTTGTATTTATCCTACTTGGTGTTTGTTGAGCATCTTGAATCTATAAATGTATGTCTTTCCCCAAATGAGGAAATATTTCACCATTATTTTTCAAATAGCTTTTCTGCTCTATTCTCTCTCCCTTTCTGAAACTCCAATTATATGTATTTTTTTTTCTAACAGTTTTCTGAGTATCTGTTTTTATTTCAATTTTTTTTCTTTATTCTTCTCATTGGATAATTTTCTGTTGATTTGTCATCAAGGCCACTTTTTCTTTCCTTTGTCATCTCCAGTTCATTGTTAAGTCCATCTGGTGTATTACTTTTTCAGTTCTAGAATTTCTGTTTGGTTCTTTTCTTTTTTTTCCTATTTCTCTGCTGAGATTTCTTATCTGCTAAAAAAAAATTTTTTTTTGCTCATTTCAACATCTGCATCCTCTGAGGATTGGTTTTAGTTGTCTTCAGAATGTCTCCCATTAACTGGGTGATGGGCATTGGGGAAGGTATGTGTTGTAAATGGCACTGGGTCTTATATAGGACTGATGAATCACAGACCTGTACCCCTGAAACAAATAATATATGTTAATTAAAAAAAAAAAAGAATGTGTCACATCTTCCTGGTTCTTCACACATTTTGAAAAAAAAAAAGGTATCTAGGACATTGAGGATGTAAAATTTGAGAGAACTCTGGGTTCTGTTATTTTGCTTCAGTGAGTATAATGTTTTCTTGAGTTTTAGCAGGCAGTTCATCTTGGCTGGACTCTAACTACAAATCTGTTTCTTAGGTGGCAGCTTGAATCTTGAGTCAGCCCTTTTGTATCTGGCTGAGTTGCTATGAGTGTACTCCGTGCGTATGTGGCTCAGCAGCCCACCAGAGGTGTGCGCAGACAGAGCTGGGAATACCCTCTGATTCCTCCCCTTCTTTCCGGTAGACATGGTTTCCCACTCAGTTTTCTGGTTCCAAGACCAGATAGACTGCATTTGTTCCCCCTACAGATCCCCAGGGAAAGGCTATGAAACCCTGAACTTATCCTGTGCAACCGTTCTCTTCCAGGTGTGGACTCCCCATCTACCTGTCTGTGTTTATTCTCCAACACCTTCAGGTAGCTACTTGTACTTACAGTTAGCTGAGTTTTATAGTTTTCTGGAGGAGTGTAGGAATGGAAAGATCTTAGTCATTCCTGGAACCAGTCTTTCATTTTAGTGAGGGAGAGTCAGACAATAAAAAAAATACAAATAAAACATTTATAACATGAAATCATTGTATTGGTTATCTGTTGCTTTGTTACAAACCACCCCAAAACTCTGAGACTTAAATCAACTATCATTTATTATAATTCATTCAACTGTGGGGTGGCTGAGGGTCACCTGATCTACGCTGGCCCTGGCTGAGCTTGTGTGTTTGTATTTCAGCTGGCTCACTCCTGTATCTGCAGGCTGGCTAGGCATTTTGCTCTCGATTGGGCTTGGCTGGGGTACCTTAGTGAGAACAGCTCTCTTTCATGGGTCTCTCATCTTCTTCCTGGGAATAGTGGACTAGCCTGGGGGGCCCCGGGGTGGCTTAGTTGGTTAAGTGTCTGCCTTCGGCTCAGATCAGGATCTCGGGGTCCTGGAATCGAGCCCCGTGTCGGGCTCCCTGCTCAGCGGGGATTTGCTTCTCCCTCTCCCGAGTCTCAGGCACTCTCAAAAAAATAAAATCTTTAAAAAAAAAATAGTGGGCTAGGCTGGGCTTATCCTTCTTATGGTGATGACAGAAATCAAGAGAGCAATTTCATAAGTGCTTGTTCAAGCTTCTGCTTTTGACATGTCCCCTAACATCCCACTGGCCGAAGCAAGTTGTATGGCTGAACTCAGAATCAAAGATGGGAAGCATATCTCTTGATGAGAAGATCTGTAAAGTCATATGGCAAGGAAGCCAGTGTAGGCGGTGGTGAAGATTTGGGCCTTTCATGTATTCTACCATAGCAGTAACAAGTGCCATTAAAAAACGGGGGGGGGGGGGCAGAATGATGGAGCGTGTGTATATGTGTAAGGGCATGTGTATGTGTGTAAATGTATACATGCCTTTTTTTATACAAAACTGGAATTTGCTTATAGAAGGTTGTGTAGTCTATACTTATTTGTTCGATATGATATACCCACCATGCAGTAAACCATTCCCAGCTCTTTGCCCATTTTAGGCCATTTACAATTTTTATACCCCTTCCCCCGATTTATTGAGTGTTAAATTTTGAAAGCACCTTACACGTATTATTTTATCTTTACAACAGCCTGGTGAAATACTCTTAGTGTCCCCACTTTATAGATGAGGAAACTGAGGTACACCAAGGCTGAGTAACTGGCCTACAGTCACCCACTGCATAAGTGACAGAGACAGGATATGGAACTGGAAAGTCTTTCTTAACACCCTTGCTTGTGTACTAATAAAAGTATAAAAGACTGTGTCCACATTCTGAACATTTCTTTAGATAACGGCCCAGTGGTGGAGTATTGGGTCATAGGATAGTTGTCCCACTTAAAGGAGTGTTTTCTCATTTGCTGCCAATTGACTGAACACTTCAAGGTTGTTGCTGAGCTAGTTTGTCCCTCCCACTGCAAGAGAGTAAAACACCAGGCTTGCCAGTCAACGGCTGGAATGCAAGCAGTTTAACTCCGTGAACCTCAGTAAGTAGGAGAGCCAGGATTGGTGTGGTATGAACGGCAGGGGCCAAGAAACAGCGGGGCCAGTGAGCCAGCTCCCGGGAGCAGTCCGCCGTAGGGTGGCCTGTGTGAGCCAGGGCTCTGCAATGATGGCCATTTCCACGGCTCAGGGACGGGTTCACGTGCGGTTAGTGTGACCCCCCCGGCCCAGCACCCATCATCTCCCTGGCCCTAGGCACAGTTTGGATGATGAGGCTCCGGAGCCAGTGACTTCAAGGGACTGGCGGAAGATGCAGACGGCCTCACAGAGGTTGACTATCTGAGTAGTGACTTTTAGAAGTCTCTTGTCTTTTTTTCCATTTTTTTCTCATTCTGCTAGTTTGGGCTCTATGGGTGTTTTGTCTGATACTTCCTACTTTGAAATGAGGGGGAAAATGAATGGAGAGGAAGCGAGATCTGGTTGAGTGCTAATTATTAAAAGTTCTGAATTAAAGCTGGAACAGGAATTCAGGTAAATTGAGAATTTTGGACTTTCTCTAGATTGGGTTGTTTTCAGTGTAACTCATTGCCAGTGAGTATACAAAACTGCGCATGACCAGGCCTGCAGTTTTGGGTTTTGGTTACCTGTAGGTGTTCAAAATTTTACCTACTATGTCTCTTATGTATTTTGTACCTAATACTTTTTTTTCTTTTTTCTTTGCTTCAGGTTAGTAGCAAAGATGAAGATTTTCTTGACCTTTCTGTCGATGTGGAGCAGAACACATCTATTACCCACTGTCTGAGGTAACCTCATGAATTCTGACAGTGAGCTGAGCTTTTGATCAGGCTAGTAAATAAGTGGGGCTGGGGGGCGGGGAATACTGTATTTCCTCAGGAGGTAATCTTCCTTTCTGTTAAACCCATATAATCCTATTATTTTCTATTTCTTCTTTCCCAAGAGAGATTAAAAAGTAAGTGTATGTGGTCTAGAGAAGAAGGATCCTGCTGAGAAGAAAGAGGATCAAGTGGAAGTCATTAGTCCTTAAGTTTAAAAATAAGTTTTAATCTTTAATCCAGATGTGGGTTTTGGCTTTCATCTCTCTCTCTCTCTCTCTCTCTCTCATCTTTGTCTTTCTGACACACACGATTAATACACGCTACCCATGCCTACCATTACTCTTTTTCTTTCTAAGCTACTTTGAAAAATTATGTACTTTTGAGTGGAGAACCAGTGAGGGAACCGTCTGTTCCTCCATCTTTCAGCGTTCTGTGGAGATGAGTGATGGAAAGAAATTCCTCCTTGTTAGGGTTGAGAGAAGGTAAGGAACCCGGAGCACAGAAGAGCACATGCTCCGGATTCCAGGCATATTGTGCATTGACTTGAACATTGGAAATGTGCCCAGAGTCGACTCACAGACACAATTCCCTTTTCCCCTTCCCCCTCCCCTTCCCCCTCCTGCTCTCAGTAGGTCGTGAGGGCTGAGAAGCAGCCCAGCCCTACTCTAGACACTGGGCGTGGAGGAGCAAGCATCAGACACGTTCCGGCTCCCACAGCACTTACATCCTAGGGGGAATCCACAGGCGATGCTTGGTGCTTTGAAGGAAATTAAATAGGTCTCCAGAGTGGTGGGTTGTGGGAATGCCACTGTGGACCCCACGGTCAGGGCAGGCCTCCTGAGATCTCACCTCTCCAACAGGAAGACGGGTCTGGGCTGGGTGTTGCCACTCACCCTCACACTCTCAGAGTTCTGGGCTAGGAGTGGCAGCTTCCTAACCTATCCCGAAAGAACAAAGTGCCCAGAAAGGCCCAGGGAATCAATGATGCCCAGCTGCTCCACTAGCATTTTCCATCTGAGGCAAAAGAGAAGGGAATGATTATAATCTTTTGGGTCCCTTTCATGGTTCAGTTCAGTTTGCATTCTTAACAGTTTGTTTTTAAAATTAGAACTATGAATTTTCTTCTTACTATGTCTGCATATGTCTTCTGATGTGGTATGTTATCTTTCTTTCATTTTGATGACCCAAAAGAAGTTACAAATCAAGCTAAAATTGTAGGATTTGAATGTAAGGTCTCTGCCACCTCCTTCCAGATGGTTAATTCCAGTATGGTTTCATGGCTTTTGTCCCAGAGGAATGATGAAGTAAATAGTGGTTACGTTCAGGATACAGGGCTATGGAAACCATCAGATACATACTGTAACTGAACTAGAATCCTCACATTTCAAATGTCAGTACCGTGTCTCGGGCCAGGTGAGCCATCCATATCATAAGTGAATACCGAGGAAGTTTTTTCTTTTCTTCTTTTGAACAGCTTAGAGATGGCCTCAGGCAAAAACTTCAGATACGTGAAGTTTATCTTAATTATCCTTCCATGGCATTTTGGGTATTTTTTTGCCTTTCACTTCAGTGCCTGAGTGGCTCCTTCACAGAAACCTTCCCTTTAAGTTCCACGTTCTGAAACCACTCTCCCTTGCACTGTCTTCCTCGCAATTAAAATGCCTGTTCTCCCAGTGTTGCGGAGGTCAGCTGGGAGGGAAGTAGCTCTTCATTCTCCCATAGCTCTGTTTTAAAAATTTATCTTCTCTAAAACGAATTCCTTTCCTACCTATTTTGAGAAACCTCTTTTAAGTGTTCTCTACACCCAGTGTGGGGCTCGAGCTCACAACCCCGAGATCAGGAGTCATGCGCTCTACTGACTGAGCCAGCCAGGCGCCCCTGAGAAACTTCTTCTGTGTACGAAGTTCATATGCATCCCCCCCACACATCCATTGCCGCGTGCTTATTTATTTATTTCTCTGACCTGTGTTTGGTTATTATTGATATATATAGTATTCCCTAATATTTGACATGTGTTTCTTGTGGATTTCTTTTTTCAGTCTTCTTTAAAACTCTAATCAGTGGTTCTCAAATTTTGGTGTGTATGAAAATCACCTTGGGGAAGTTGGCAAAAATAGGGGCCTAGCCCGTAGTCAACTTCAGTGAGCCTGGCCTCTGTTTTTAATCAATTTTCTAGGTGATTCTAATAGCACCAGAGTTTGAGATCCACTACTCTGGGTCTTTGCTGCTCAGACAGTGGTCCGTGGGCTAGCACCAGTGACATCACCTGGGAGCTCATTAGAACGGCATGTTAGGCCTCCCCCAAGAACGAATGAGCAAACCAGAATCTTCATTTTAACAAGATCTCCAAGTGATGCAAATGCATGTTAAGGGTGACAAAGCACTGGGAACAGTGCCTCGCAGACTTCCCAGCATATTGGAACCACCTGCTCTACCTGGAGAGCTTCTAATGTAATTGAGTGGGGGCCGGCGGGGGGGGGGATTAGGCACTGAGATTATTTTGGAAGCTCCCCGGGTAATTCTAACGGGCAGCCAGGAGAACTGCTGATGTTGCTGCTGTCTTCCTTAGAACAAAGCTTCCCAACTGGTGTGCCCCAGGAGACAGGTTACAGGTGTGTATAGGTCACCTTGGCTCCTGGGAGGCAGGGCAGAGCAGCTGTGCAGCATCGACCGAGAGACGTGCTATACCTCAGTTACCTGCTGGGGTCAGCCCCTTCTCCTGACCTAGCCTCATTTTCCCGTTCTCCACCCACAGATGCCCTGGGGTGGGGGGCCTCCAGCCAGCTGGGGCGGGGCAGGGTGGTGGTTATTTGGAAATCGGGCCTTTAAGTACTGACTTTGGTATATTTCCACCTGTCTGGGTCTGCAAATACTTCAGAAAACTTTCTTTGAAGAATAAGTAGAAAGTGTTTTAATTCCTTATTCACCACTGTGCTTGCCTTGATGATTCTGGTTCTTTAGCTGGATGAAGAGGTACATCTGTGGTAGACATCCCAATGAGGTGAATCTCCACCATCATCCAAACTCTTCTCCCCCTCTCCCTGCCCCCCACCCACCAGTTCCACCCCAGCCCTGTGTAGGCCAAGAAGAGCGTTCACGGCAGTTACTTGGTTGAAGAGTCAGCCTGTGTTCGTTCAGCTAAGTCTGAGTCTCTGTTATGCACCAAGCACCTGAGATCTGAGAGTTGAGTATAATTGCCTTCTGAATTGTTTTCTTGCTTCTCGGTCCCTCCAATCCTTCCTCCATAGTGCTACCAGAAATGGTATTTCTCAAAAGCACTGATTAGGTCTTTTCCTTGCTGGGGCCCGTTAGTGGAATTCTGGAGCCATGGGTCCGCACCAGCTTCTAAGACACCCCCCGTACCTTGCCTCCATACCCCTGTGCTGCGGCAGTCCCTCTGTCTGGATTCCTTGACTCTTACCCACCTGGCACTTTCCCTCTGAGAACCTGACTGCAGCATCACCTCTTGGAAATGACGTGCATTACCCCAGTTCAAGTTCGTTTCTTCTTCCTCGGTGCTTTCCCCTGGATTTGACATACCTGCTCCTGTCTTCACTTAGCCAACAAATGGAGTGCCATGCTGCATCAGGCCTGTTCTCGGGGCTGGGGATGTGGCAGTGAGTGAGATAGACGGAACCATTGCCCACAGAGAGAGGAGTCAAGTGATCACATAGGAGGATGGTTTCAGATAGTGCTGAGTGCTGAGACGAAAACAAGACAGCAAACAGGATAGAGGCTGGGTGGATTTGCAGAAGGTGGACAGAGAAGTCTTCTCCCTGGAGGTGACGTTTTTGCAGAGCTCTGAACAATGAGTGGAGCCAGCCATGGAAGCATCTGGAAAGGAACTATTTGGGGAAGCAGCACATGCAGAAGCCCTGAGGCAGAAAGGCTCCATGGCACTCGGAAGGGAAGGTAGGAGGGAGGTCAGAAGAACAGTCAGGGGTCTGAGCGCCGAGGGCCTGTCTGCCTTGGCAAGCTATTTGGTTTTATTCCTAAGCGTACTGGGGACGGGCTAGAGGGCTTTAGGTGGGAGAAGTGTGTGAAATGATTTTTTTAACCTGCCCGGAACACTGCCTACTGTAAAATGGCTTACTTGCGCGTGTCTCTTAGACTGGGGGCAGCGTGAGGGTAGGTGCTTCTGTGAGCCCCCAGCACCAAGTCCAGAAGACTGTCGGTTAACGGTTGAGTAGTGAATGCATGAGCAATCTACGGTTTCTTTTGATAAGCTCTGTTTAAGTGTGTGAGTCAATAACACCATGTAAATAACATTTTCTGTTTAATAAAATCTGATCATTCTGCTGCTAGGACACTCCCTATGAATAAAGAAATATCACAGGCTCTCTCCAGACTCTAGAGTATTATATTTTGCATGTTCTTCTCAGCCTTTGAAGCAGTACCACAGGAATGTTAAGTAGAATCTCAGTGACCAGGAAAGAATGAAAAGCCGTGACATTTAAAAAATGAAAACTATAAGTAGCGCGGTAAAACCTCACGATAGGGGTGAATACAGATATAACATCGGGCAGCGGCATTTGTCCTCAAAAGGAGCGAAGGTGCGGGATGGGGAGCAGGGGGTTGGAGGAAGCAGGTATCTCCTGCTAATTAGGGATCTTCTTAGTTCAATCTAAGGGCAGTTGTATATGATTTAAATTTCATTATCTTTCCCTTTGTGCCCTTTGAAAATATAGATCACCTGAGATAGACTGTTTTTCATTACATGATAATGTCTCCTCGCATTTTATGTGATTGACAATTTTTCAGACCTGACTTACAGCGTAACGATGGGCTTTTACAATAGTGAGGATTTTTCTGTTCTAATTTTTAATCTCCAGGGTACGGGTGGTCTTGTTAAACCTTGAGATTTGTTTTTTGAATCTGTTGGAAACCCTAATTTATATCCATCTGTGTCCCATGAAATAAAGCTCTCCTTGAAAATTGCCAGTGGTGAAATCATAACCCAGCCCAGGAGACATAGTCTAATGGCAATCATAGCAGCTACTCATCAGAAAGATCTTTTCTCATTGCTTTTTTCCCCACATTCACTTAAAAATTACCCTATAGGTCACCTGGGTGGCTCAGTCGGTTGAGTGTCTGCCTTCAGCTCAGGTCGTGATCTCAGAGACCTGGGATCGAGCCCCACAGCGGGCGCTCTGCTCGACGGGGAGTCTGCTTCTCTTCTCCCTTTGTGCGAGCTCTCTCTTGCTCTCTCCCTCCCCAACATAAATAAAACATTAAAAAAAAATTACCCTACAGGTAATAAAGGGTTTAAAATATGGTATAGCAAGTACATTTTGGACTGTGTTTTGAGTTGAAAATATTTTTCTCTGCAGAGACTTCAGCAACACAGAAACACTGTGTAGTGAACAGAAATATTATTGTGAAACGTGCTGCAGCAAACAGGAGGCCCAGAAAAGGTGCGTAAAGGATTTAGCCCGGAGGGTGGCTTTGTGTTGAGGGAAGGAACCATATCTGATTTTGAATCCCAGTTCCATGGGCTCGTGGCCGAGGAGCTTTGGAGAAGTCAATTGCCTTCCTCCCTGGAGAGACGAGGATAAGAATGCCTACCTTGGAGACTTGTCCATTTGTCTGATTGTTGGATCATTTGTCCACTCATTCATTCAACAAATGTTTATTGCATGCTGTGTGCCAGATACTGTGCTGGGTAAACGAGTGGTGATCAGATACAATTACTATCCTCTTGGGATGAAAGGCAAATTATAAAAAGGATGTAGCATACAACACATAGTAGATACCTAGTAATACTGTTGGTATTGCCTCAGTGTTGGAACTTATTTCAGAGACACAAGAGGTTAAAAAAGTTAATCACTGAATATGGAAACATGAAGAACTCAATAATACATCAGTTATATGGGTGGGCAATAAGAAGTCATCACATTCTGAATTGATACGGGATCTGTGCTTGCCTATCTTTTTACCAGCACCAGCTGGTTACAGCCCCTGGACAGAGTGCGCGATCATCAGGGATTCTGTTATCTGCCCGAGAAATCAGGAAGCTTGACATTTTAATTATCCCGTGAGGCTTTACCGTGAGTTACACTTACCCTGCCCACAGTTGTGGAATATTCAGAATAGCACGTAAGAGCTCATGACTGCTGTCTGAAACCTTCCGGGGTCTAGAGCTGAGCCAGAAATAGTCCCTCTGCCCAGTCTCTGCAGCTGCCCCCCCCCCCCCCCCCAGATATGCACATCTTTCCTCCCTGCATCAAAACTCATCAAAGGTTAGTCGTTCCAGCAGATGGGTATATACGGAGGGCAGAGGTGGTTAACTGTTGTGAGTGATCAGGGAGCTCCTTTCTGCTCCCCGTCCTTAGAATCTTGGTCTGCTCAAGGCCAGCCCAGGCCTTGCTGTGTGGCTCAAAAATGTATGTTCTGCTCAGCCCTGGAGGTTTTATTGATTAAAATATTGTGTGTTCCTGTAAAATATGGTGTTCCCCACGATTCTTACGTTTCTGCTGGCATTGCTATTTTGCTTATTTTTATGAACAGGGTTTTACCTCAGTAGATTCCTGAACAGTGGTCTTTTAAAATTTGTCCTTTTCAAATAATATGCCTTGAAAATGTATACAGCGTTGCCACTGACTCAGGAGGAGGGGGGTCCCGGAAGGTGACCGAAGATCCTCTATTCTAGCATAATTACCTACATAAACTGTTGTTTTTGTGAATTTTTTACCAAGAAATATTAATGGTCACCTAGTGAAAAAAGCTTTCTGTGTTCATGTAAGTTTGGGAAAGCCCCTTCCAACAAAAGAGAACAGTTCCTTCACCGTAGGATTTCTCAAAACCTTCAGTATGCCAGTGCGCAGGGAGGAACTTCAAAATCGAAAGTAACCCCGTCCAGACGTGCCCCAGAAACCCCGCCTCTGTGAGCACCTGCCGTGCTCCAGCAAGCCCCGTTTGGGGAGTGTAGCCCTAAGCCAAGCCCTGCATTTTCCGAATGACGACACAGCACACCAGGGGAATGCTTTACACGGAGTGAGCATGCGCCGAGCGTGCCCGGCTTCCCGGCCTCCGGCAGTGTGGTTTGGGAAGCATCCCGGCCGGCCCTGGGAACCTAGAAGGCCAAGCTTCAGCCTTCTGCTTGTCCTCCCCCCAACTTCCTTTTCTCAAAAGCTGTCACCCCTCCTCTCCACTATCTCCAGATGGGGTGCCGGGGGGTGTGGCTGTCCAAATACCGTTCCTTTCCGGAGGGCAGCAGGCAGTACTGGAGAGCAGGTGCACATCCTATTTTTTATTGGTACAAAAATTCAGGACGGTCTCCTTTGACCAAACTGAAACAGAGACCTGCTGTGGCACGTCGCTCATGTCGGCTGTGCCCCGTTCGCCGAGAAAGTCGGGGAAGCCAGCTCTCCGCACGTGTGCGTCCTTTCATGCGAGCAGTCCGGTTGTTCGCTGGATTGAAGCCCGTGAGAGCCCTCCTGCTGTCCATTTGTGTGGCCGCGGCGTGCTCTTGTCGCCTTGGCCGCCGTGGGGGACAACTGGTGGTCTGTTTCGTGGTTTCTCAGGATGAGAGTGAAGAAGCTGCCCATGATTTTGGCCCTGCACCTGAAGCGGTTCAAGTACATGGAGCAGCTCCACAGGTACACCAAGCTGTCTTACCGGGTGGTCTTCCCGCTGGAGCTCCGGCTCTTCAACACCTCCAGCGACGCCGTGAACCTGGACCGCATGTACGACCTGGTGGCTGTGGTGGTTCACTGCGGCAGGTGAGGGCAGGCGGGGAAGCGGGGTGCTGGCCACAAGGGGAGGCTCAGGCTCGTGCTCCCGCCCGAGTAGACCCAGCTGTGCCTTTCCGGGGCCGTGAGACTCTTGTGATATGGTACTTCTGAGTTGTCTTCCAAGCTCTTTCTTATCATCGCAAAATAAATCTAAAATGTACTCTTTTTTAAAAAGATTTTTTTAAATATACTCTTAAAAAAAAACTTTATGCCATTTGTAGTCTTTTTTTTATCAAAAAAAAAAGAGAATAAGAGAGAAGGCCCTTAGATATGGAGATGCAAAGCATTTTGCTGGAAGTCCTTTTGAGCAAGTATTTTTTTATTCCATAGCTGTAGATAGAAGCATGGAAAAGTCTGTTGAAAATTCACCTGTTTGTGATCCTGTGCTCAGCTGGCATGGGTTTCTGTTTTCTCTTTCCATGCTATTACTCTGGCTTTATTCTTCATGGCACTCATTACCCCTTGAAATGTATTTATATTTTGGTTTGTTCATTACCTAGCCAAGCCTTACCCCAAGAAAGTGGGAACTTTGTTTTTGTCACTGCTTTTCTGTCTGACAGCCAGAAGAGAGCCTGGAACATAGTAGGTGCACAGTCGTTTGTTTATATTTGTCGGGCTTGAATATCCACTTTCCTCACTGGACCGTGGATCTTTAGAAGACCGTTATTTTTGCATCTTTGCCAAAGATTCCCTTAGGTTCAGCACAGCACTACCACATGGATCCCTCCTCCATACATTGTGGCCAAACTAATGTGGGCATAGACCTGACCTGTAGCAGAGTTCTCTGTCCTGATGAGAGGGTTGGTTCTCGTAAATCACTGCTTATACAGAGCTACATAGTTTTTCTTAAAGAAGTAAATGTCAACTTGGTAACTTTTGTTTGTTCTTTTCCAGCGGTCCTAACCGTGGGCATTATATTACTATTGTGAAGAGTCATGGCTTCTGGCTTTTGTTTGATGATGACATTGTAGAGGTTGGTATGCAGATTACAGTCTGTGCCCTAGCCCCACTGTAGGGTATACTGGGGAATGTGTATGTGTGGACCTTTCCTAAAACAGGCCTGTTTTCCCCTAATCTGTCTTGAAAACAATTTACATTTGTGTCATAACTCAACCCTGCTGCTCTTCATTCTCTGTGGAAAGGCAGAAAGGGGTGTGATGGGGGCTCATTAATACTGTGTTCTTGTTAACTGATCCACCATAGATGTGGGATCTCTGTGTCACCTGAAATCATATTTATATTCTATGTAAGTCCTGTTTTCCACTGCAACCAAAACCCTCTCTGGTACAGACCAAATAATAAATAAAAAAAAGTTCTACTAGAATTCTTTCATTATACCGAATTTTCCTTGTAAAAAAAATTAAAAATAGTTTTTCAGTCTGTTGGACCTGAAAATCATTCTGTCACACTCAAGGGTTCCGTGTATTGATTTTGTTGTAAAAGAATACTAGCTGGGAGAATTCTACTCTCAGACAAGGTCCACTTTAGCTCATAGGGCGACACTAAAGGGAGTAAACTCTGATGACCTGAAAGAATTAAGGTTTTTCCCAAGACCCCCCGGCTTACCCTTTGAAAGACAGAAGCCCTGGCTTCCTCAAAGAGTGCCAACATACAAGCGGCCTCAGAGATTAAAGGGTGGCTTTCCTCCTCAATGATTTGCAAGTTACATAATCGTGCCCCTTTGTCAAGTCTGGGGCATTGCCCAGTTGCTGTTGAGAGTGCCCAGTTGTGATTTTAGAACAGTGTTTCTTACATTTTCTCGTTCATCCTGTTCATTTTTCTTTCCTTCTCGCAGTCCTCATGTTAAAAACAATGGTATTGTTTTGTGTCTCTTTTGTTGCAGAAAATAGATGCCCAAGCTATTGAAGAATTCTATGGCCTGACATCCGATATATCAAAAAATTCAGAATCTGGATATATTTTATTCTATCAGTCAAGAGAATAACTTAAAGACCTGCGGGACTAATTCAAATGGGGGGAAATGTTCCAAGCACTCTTCCGTGGTTTCCCTGCACACTTTCCTCCCCAGCGGCCCACCAGGGATACGACGCCAAGTCCGACGGTCTGGCTCTGTTAGACTTTCTCTCCCTTTGGTTCTTTTTTTACATGCAGCACTACTTGTGGTTTTATTTTAGTCTGAGGTAGAGTTAACTGCAATCAGATTGTAGTAGGATTTATATGAGTAACAGTTGCTAATTTTGGGATCAGGTAAATGCCCCACCACTGGCTGTGTCTGGCTGAAGCCGAGTGACATTTCCTGCGAATGTCTACAGTCTGTTTTGGGTCTCTGCTGAACAGTCTAAATGCCTCCCGGGATCGCGTCTCAGTGCATTCCTTTAACTTGTCCCTGGAAGCACCGCTACCCCCCAGTTTTTGCTGCTGTGCCTCTTTTCTGCCAGGAGGACAGAAGAATTGGGTAGATGTTCACCTTTTAGGGCTGCAACTATAGCTTTAAGTTTGTGCAAGTGAAAACATTGACGAGTGAGTAACCTCAATACTAAGACCATCCTCCAGGTGGAACAGGGTGAAGAGAAGCTGTTCCTGGGGGCTCGCGCCTGCCCCGGGCTATGCTCTCTGTCTGCCAGCCTTGAGAATCCCCGAGGCTAGGAAGGTAGGAAGCTCAGGGCAGGCAAAGCCAAGAGGAGGAAGCTTTCGTAGACAGTGAGAAGTTACTTTTCTTATCTTTCTACCAAAGCCACGCGTCAGGAAAATAACCCTATGCTGTCTGTTCTTAGTGACCTTCGGCTTCCGTGAGGTCCTACGAGTTGTATCTGTCCGCTCTCTGGCACTGCTGAGCTTTCCTGGGTGTCGTTCCAGGCCTGCTGGTGTTTTGCAGTCTGTGGTCGCAGGGCTAAGACGCCGCGGTGACTGCTTCCGGCCCAGCTCTCCTTGGCCGGTCAGCACCCACGTCCTTCTCTATCACCACCATCGGCCGCGTGGTACAGCTGTTGGCTTTTTCACATTTCTGTTTATTGAGGTGCTTGGCGAGCCCAGGGGCTAATGTGGAACCTTCCCTAGAGAGATAACTGGAGTTAGCTGGGTGTGACTGTGGGTCAGAGGAAGTGTGAGTGGGTGGGCGGAGGAATGAACAAAATGGTGGCGTCTCTTTGGCTCAGACTCCTAGAATGCTTGACAAGACAGTTTTTGGAAGAACCTCATCTCACTAGAGTTACCTTTACTTTTTCACTTTTGTTATATATGTATTTATTAGATCATTTGAGTATTGGTACCTTTTATCAAAAGGGTCAATTTGGTGTTTTGCTGTTGAGCTGGTTTCTGGATTCTTACAAATAACTATGAGTCCTAGATCTTGGCTTCCTTTGGGAAGTCAGTTGACTTCCATACACTATAATATACTGTGAACGTATTATTATTTTGTTACCTAATAAATCAGCGAATGAACATGCAGATGTTTGGCATAATGTGAACTAAAGTTGAAATCGAAAATGTTAGCGGCCATTTTGTAAAATGAAGAGCATAGCACTTTATCTAGATGAAAACTGGATTCTTGTTTTTGACATATCTTGAACTGTTTATTGCTCAGAACTTAAATAAGCATGCCGACACTTCATCTGTTCGTGCTTGAAGTGAAATGTTTTACTTTTCACTGGAGAAGACAAAAACAGGGTGATCTTCACATTACTGTTTTATACAAGTGATACCTTGCCTTGTTTAGAGGCAAATTCATATTTATAAATATTTTGTCTTTCTTTCCCTCCATGAAACATATGCAGTAATCAATTACCTGGAAGGTGAGTATTTATTCTGTTTTTAAGGAGAGACACTTTGCAATTGAAGGTGACTGATACAAGGAACTGTTTGTACTATATATAACCCATATATTTGACTGCAGGTTGCAAAGTTTTTTTAAAAAAAAATAATGGTTCATATCTAATATATTTGGAACTGATTCATAAGAAAAAACTATTAAAATTATCTTTGAAATGACTCTTGAAGCTAATTTATTAGAAACAAGAAGTTTCAAGTGGAAAGCTACAGAAGTAATATCTAAATGCTAAGTCATAGGTTCAGCGCATTTTCTTTATTATTATTATTAATACTACTTTTTTTGTATGTGTAAAGAGTTTTTCCCAGTGACTTAAGAGAAGAAACTGAAAGGGTCAGTTAGAATTCAGTATTCCTGGAGAGAGGTTAGGAGTAAAGAACAAGTATGGAAGGTAATGCAAAGGCATTAAAATGGTTGTGTGATGCAGGAAAAGAAGATTGGAGAAAGACCAAAACACACTTATCCACCGACATTCCATCAGATTTTTAAACTTTAGAGCTATCTGATCATTTCTCTCCTCTTCAGTAAATGAACAAACACTAGGCAGCTACATTTCCCCCATATCATTTCACTTTATGTAAAGACAGTAGCCTGCAAACACTTTATTTTTCATCCCTCATTCATTGTATAAAGCAGAGAACGGTGTGAGATGTGTGAGACCATTCTGAGGTCAACGATAGCACAAAGGCTCAGCAATATTCCCTCAGATCGCCGGGGTTTTGTGTGTCATTTTCTGGCAGGAGTTAGAGTAGGCCTGCTGTATTTTTTTTAAATGCTGCAGGTTTTAGAATAAGTTACAGTGTTTTACACTTAAAAGAGAGAAGACATATTTGCTTTATTGGTTACTTACTAGCTGAGCATAGAGATGTATGGTACAGTTTGCTAAAAAGACATTTGTTTAAAAGCCTCTTTTGGCAAAATGCTGACATCCAGTCCGGTTACACGGATACATTTTCCATTCCAAGGCAGCATGAAGTGGGCTGGTTCGCAGAGAGCCAAGGAACAATACAAGAGGGTGTTGGTTCGAATCGGAAGCCAGTCGTATTTGGTTTTACGGCCTGGCATATTTTGGATTTCAGATGAAATGGAAAAAAAAAAATGACAGGAATGGTCCCTATGCATTTATTTTCATGGATATGCTTAATTTCATGGGCATGCCTAACAACGAACTATGTTCTAACTGGAGCTTAGGACTTATTTTAGATATTGGAGTGTAGCTTTATTACAGACGGATTTTATCTTTAAACATTGCATTTTGATCAACTTTGTATATTCACGTGTATTAAAATATCGTGCCCTTAATGTTTTGCCCTCATTTGCTATTATATGGTCTAGGCATTTATCAGCACTATTGTGAATAACTCATGTAAATGGCATGGATCAGGGAAAATTATTTCCTACTTTTCTGCCTAATTAAATTTCTGTTTTCCAGTATTACATTAATTTATTTTTGGCTCCCATTTCTTTGTAACCAAAATAGTTACTGTATTTGTGTGGCATTCATTTGATTTTGTTGCTAAAAAAAGTTTAGTTTTTATTTAAAATAATCTGTACCTTAATTTTCTTTTAATGTAACCAATTCAGGCACTTTAAGCAATAACGTCAATCTTGTGAAAGTTCAGTTTAACACCCTGCCTCTAAAATTGTTTGCAAAAAAATAAAATAGGAATTCTCTTCCTAGAGAATTTTATCTTAGTAAAAAAAAACACATGGACTTAAAATCCTTTTTATAAAATGTGAGTTATTGGCAAGTCTCATGTCCGGGTAATCATTCCAAACTTAATTTTGAAGCAGTGGAAATGTAAAGAACCTTCTGGTTATTGTGATTTATAAATGCAGTGCTACTGTCAAGGTTGATAAAGTCGGTATTCTGAAGGTAACTCAGTCCTGTTCTTGAGTTAAAAAAAAAAAAAAAATTAACAGAAGTAATCCAGAAACCTGTATTTGGAAAAAAAAAAAAAAAAGCTATCAGTGGGGCGGGGGGGGGATTAGGTTCAGGTGTATTAGACATCACAGTGAATTCCTTAGCTGGGACTCCGCATATAAAAATCACCTTTTACCAGTTATGAAATAGAAGATCCATTCCTCAAATAAGAAAGTGGCTTCCAGAATCTGGTTTCTAGGCCCGAGCAGGAGTGTGATCCTAGCCCTCTTGTACTGACAGCCAGCCCCTAGGCTTCTGGGTGGTTTCTGAGCTGTGGGGGCCCCCCAGCGGGGTGCACACCACCCCCTACAGGGGCCTGCCAGGGTGGGAGCAGCATGTTGTCTCCTTCCCGAGACTCGAGCTTGCTGTTAAGATGCTCAAGGCTCGGCCCCTGCTCCCCAGGCCAGTCCCTTCAAGGAGTCCATGTGTGGGCAGGAGATTGTCATCTGAATGCATTTGCCTGGGCCCAATTATGGGAAATAAAAACAGACCAATTTCCATCTGTCTTCTCTCGGGGCAAGTCAGCCAAACCTGACTGAACTGGGAAGCCACCTGGAGCCACCGTGACTGTTGTAGGAAGGGAAGACCTTAGGAAAGTCTCTTTTCTAGGCCTGGTTCTGTCCATCTGTTAAATGCGGTTATGCGGGATAGGTGTGTCCCCAGCAGCAGAACCCAGTTTCTGGGGAATGAGATGTGTTCTCCATTTATCCGCCATTTCTGTACATTGATACCTAAAACACCTTTAACAGAACGAAGCCTTCCCTTACCTCTATTTATTTACATGCAGATAAAAATCCTTGCGAAGTCATTTTCCCCTCTGAGGGAAGATTTTGATTGTGGGGATGGTACTAAAGACAAACCACTTAGACTTGTCCTAGAGATGCCCCAAGTGGAGAGATTTCTAATGAAGTGATTATTTAGCACCTATTACATGCCAGATTTGTTAGGAATCCGGGGAGGGGGACAACAAAGGGGAGCAGAGAGGACCCCCTTTCTCATTGTTTACCTCAGGGAAAAAAGAAAAAAAGGTCTGTGGAAAAGAAATTTAAATTATGGAAATACTGCGCCTGAGGGGAATTCACAGGTGAGCACTGATTGGGTCTCACGGAGCAGATGGGCAGTTAGATAAAGCAGGCCCATCCCTTTCTTCCCTGGGGCCCCTTTTGGAGACCCACTTGCCTCCCTGCCTACGCCTCTGAGGGACAACACATTTTTTAAAAACAGTGTAAATCTAAAAAATAAAAATAAAAAAAAATAAAAACAGTGTAGATCTGTTGTAGCAATGACCCTGAGCAAAAAAAAACTTAATTTCATGTCAGAGGAGCCAGAATTTTGAAAGTCTTAACAGAGGGTTTTATGAATAAAATAAACAATCCTTTTACATTATTACCAGATAATTAACAGCCTGTCCAAACGTTAGCAAAACCAACCCGGGCATGAGCGTTTCTAAGCTATATGGCTCAATGACTTTATTGACTTATCAACCTGTGTTCTCCTTTTTGAGCTCCCTTATGTTTTCAAAGTGCTTTGAGCAAAGCACGTGAGGAGCTTACAAACAAATGAGAAGCTTCATTTTGGTTGTGAGACACCAGTCAGAAACGACATTAAATGTTGTAAAGAGAATTCCTAATTTTGTGCTCATTTCCCACACAATGATTCATAATAAAGTACTAACGACCCTAGGGTATCCTAGTCATGTAGTGAGATGTGTCTTCACTTTCTCCCCTACCTTGAGTGAGCACACGGGCTCCATTAAGGCAGTGTGAGGTTCCACCGAGGCT